GCCCCTGCCACGACTACCAAGGCGCCTGTGACCACCACGGCTGCCCCTGCTACGACCACTAAGGCGCCTGTGACCACCACCAAGACCCCTGTTGTGACGACGGCTGCTCCTTATACGACGAGTACGTCGCGTCCTACGACGACTCGCACACCGACCATGACACCCACGTCGACGCCTTGTCCCTCGACTAACTAGTCACTTTTGACTTTCGTCGAATGTGTTGCATTTTGCATATAAACCAGTTTTGAATACATATTGTCGTTTGTTCAATCATGTTGGTACACCACCGCATCGCCACCACGACCATCATCTAGCTACTACATACACTACATACACAGCACTGCAAGCATAAGTGGCTCTTCATAAAACCTTGCTATTGTTGCATTGCGTACAATAACGATATCGGGTCCATGTCTCGGCTACAAGCGCACTCCAAGCACTTGGCCAAGTTTATCTTGGTGCGTCTTGGGCAGTTTGTATGCAGAATCGAGCATCGCTGGCCCCATGGTAGCATAAAGCGCACGCAAGAGGCCTTGATTTGCGTCTCGAATATCCGTTTTACTCTCCTTCATCAGGTCGAACGCCATCGGCAGCACGTGTCTACAAGCCATCCATTCATTCCGTGATTCCCCTCGGCAACAAATCCGAAGCCAAACTCACCGCGTGAGGGTCGTCGACGGTGCACCCATTATGGCGAGTCGCGTGATCTTTTCAATAAGTCCGGGCTTGGTTCGGGTATTGGCCCCCCGACCAGCCACGACAAACGGCGGGCATAGGAGCTTTCCGTCGACATGTTTGCACAGCAGATCCAACGCCTTGTCTGCCAAAAGGGCCACCTGTCCAGCAATAGCCTACCTAGTGAGCACGAAAACTAACTTTACTACTGTACGTAGAGCCAAACCTTTTGATTGTTGGCCGCCAGATTTCGAGTCAAAGTGGGCACCAAGTTGGCCAAGACGGCGTCCAGACCGTTGCCCAGAGGCGGAATGATATCCACAAGTGTCTCCAACGCACACAAACTCACCTACCCCCCCCCATACATATACGATTGTAAGCAATCACAAGGGAATATGCGGGGGGGGTAGGTTTACGAACGAACGATCTGTACCTTGGCATTGCCGTCGTCAAGTCGTTTATTCAGCGTGTCAAACAATACGTTGAGTTTGCCAGATTGACACAGCACGGCAGCGTGTTGGTGTACAAATGGCTTGCATGTTTCTAGGGCGTCGTACCGATCCTTCCAGTTGGAACTCTCCAGCGCTACCAACATGGACGCCAATTCGTCCTGAATGTTCCCATCCCTCACGTCGACTACTTGTGGAGGTTTGGGCGGCTTGGCTTGTCTGGGTTGCTTGTCCGGTTGATCTGCAATCGACGAGGTCTGTAGCACCTGCTCTACGCGCATCAACGTGGCGCCTAAAGTAGTATGTCAGGGGTATTCGACGGGATCGATCATACTGGGCACAGCGCGCTTTAGCCGGGCGGGATCAATGTACTTTTGTGTTTTCAAAAATAACAACGTGGGCTTGGCGGTGTCACGGACTTCGTTGTTCGAGTCCCCCACCAACGAACACAAGGTCGACAGCACGCGATCCAGTTCACGGTACGATTCCAAGCGGCTGGCCGCCGCCTCGGCAATCAAAATGGTTCCCATCACCGTCGCCACCTGGACGCCAACGAACACAATTATTCTATCCCCTTTTTCGTTTCAACGCGTACTTTGTCATCGAATCAACGTCTCATGGTAATACTATTGTTGGAGTGGGATGCTCAATATCGAAAGTGCAGCGCATCGGAGGCATATCGATTGACCAATCAAAACCCAGATCAATAATCAAGTAGCCAATCAAGTTCACTCTTTAACCAATATTTGGGTGTGACAGAAATATTCGTGTGAGACACTGGATCATTTTTACATACCACGGTCAATACAAAGAACCAATCGATAGGATTTGACAAATCTGCACAAAAGTCCAAATGTTGGGGTAAAAGGACATTACCTGTTTCCGAATCAACGCGTGCTTGGACACTGCGTGTGGCAGCAACGACGCGAGCAACTTGGCCGCCGAACAGCTTTGCACGACAGCCACCAAGGTCGACGCGGCCGCTTCACTCAAAAACGCGTTCGTGTCGGCCGCTCGTTTCAACAGCAGCGGCATCACCTACATATATCAACCTCAACCCCCACGATTTACATGGTGAACTCGCGACATATATGCAATTGACCACGTACAGTGTCCATCTCTGCATCCATTTTCCGGGACAACGACACACACAGCGTTTCAATGGCGAGCATTGCGTTCTTGGCAATGCTGGAGCGCAAATTGTTGATCTGTTTGACAACTTCGACGACCAACGGCGCCAGCTGCCCCGCGACCGCGTCTGGCGCGTGCACTGCGATTTGTCTCAGCGCCGTGAGCCCCTCAAAGTTGCTTTCCCAGTCGGTGGCATGCATCAGTTTGACGCATTTGGCCAGCTCGGATTTGGTCGATCCGGGCAGGGGGTAGTCCATCAACGATGCGGTGGGCACGTACTCTTGTTTGCCGGCCCGCAGCGCCATCCGCAGCTCGTCACCCGACTTTAGCCAGCCTCCACCCCCGGACGACGAAGCAGCAGCATCTGTAGCAGCCACGGCGGCGTTGGCTGCATCTTTGTCTTGTTTGGCTTCGATGCGTTTCCGGGTCGCAAGGGTCATCGCCCGCGGCGGCGCCACCGGCCTGTCGTTGGCCAGTGGATTTTCAGGGGGGAGGCTGTCGGCATCTTGAGCGCTCGGAGTTCTGGGGGCGGTGCTGCTGCTCACTGCTGGGGCTTTTGAGTTAAGAGGCCTTACGTTTCTCTTGACAGGAACGCGCGATGGCTTTGCCACGGTTTCTTCCACTGAATGCTGCACCTTGATGGGTCGGTCGTTGGATGATGACGAAGGTTTTAGGTGTCGCTTTGTGGTCGTGGTCGTAGTTGCTCGTGGGGAGTAGTAGTACATGCCTTGGTCGCTGCTGTCGTGGTCGTCGTCGAGGAATCTACTGGGTGTAGGTGCAGCCCCCTCGTTGTCTTGATGTGGCTGCTGTCGTCCCATGGGTTTAATTGGACGATCGTCACCAGTCAACATTGTTTTCGGTGGTGGGGGGTTGCTTTCGTGTCGTGGCGACGACAGTGATTCTGATGGGTTGTCTACTACTGGTCGAGGTAAATTAAAATACGGCGTAGGTTTGATCATCGATTGGTGGTCATTGTGCATATGGGTGGTGGACGAGCCCCCTTGTGGAAGGCGCAGGTGATGTTCGCGCTCACCAGTGGATAAATATGCCCCTGCTTCGACGGGAGTGGAAGTTGCATATCGCGCAACGTCGGCGGCTTTGCCAGACTTTTTCTGCAGCGACCGCAGTTTCAGAGTCGTGAGATTCTTGGCGATGTCTTGGGCACTGGGTTGCTTCGCTGACTCGGACGAGGACACCACCGACGGGGACGCGGCCCCCTCCTCTTTGTCCTTTGGTACCCAATTGCGTGATCGGTTTGATCTGTTGGAGTCTGGTTCTGACCTCGACGACGATGTCAAAACTGGGGCGGTTGGGTCCAAGCACACAGACCCACGAGATGTCAAGATTGGAACGAACGCCTGCTGCAGGCGTCGTTGGAGCAGCTGCCAATCGATGGCGTCCGCGTACACGTCTTGGTTGGTGCGCAGCAGCGCAAGCATATCCAAGTTGCACACGTGTTTGAGTACCGCGCACACTTCCATGGCCACTTGGCGAACCCGAACGCTAGGGTCGCACAGAAGGCGGCCGATGTGCAGCACCATCGATGACACGGGCAGGGGCTCGGTGGGGTGGCGGAGGACAAACATGATGAGCACAAGACACGCGTGCTCTCGAACACGTGACGAGTGGTGCTGATATGTTGGCAGGAGTTTGAGGCACACGCCTTGGTCGAGTTGGAACATGAGCTGCAGGAGGTCCATAAGCATATCATCATGTGGCATGTCTGCGAAGAGTTCGACGAGGGCGGGGAAGATTTCGACGGTTGCCACGAGCCGCTGGACAGCTTGTACGATGTGGCGGATGCATTCTAGAACGGGGTGCACGATGCTCGGATGGTCGACGTGGACGCACAACGAGAGCAGGAAGGCCAAGAGGGCGGGCCATTGGCAGGCCAAAATACTTGCGTGCAACACCACAGACACCAAGTTGTCCATCGCAGACTGTTTGTCGGCGACAGACGCTGCGGGCGACGTCAGCACGTCGACGATCCACTTTGGCACGACGTCGAATTGCAATTGTTTGTCGGAACGATGGTCGTCGGAACCCCCCCCTTCTGGCATGAACTTGGCAATGAACGGCTTGTGTTCCACGAGGATGGCTTTGTCTCGGCCGTTGAGCCGTTGTGTGAGTTTGGCAAATCCGTCTTTCCCGACATGCCCTTGCATCCATCCGAGGGTTTCTTCAGCCGCGACAACCGTGCTTTCCTCGTCGTCTTCCATCGATGGAATCAGCACTTCAACTAGCATGCCTACACACTCGCAGCAGCAAAATCCATGAATGTCAAATACAGTGGGTTCTATACACATCCAAATCTCTCTCCATGAAGGGGGGAGGGACTTAAAATAGAATGCGTACCGTAGTCCAACCCACACGGGTGTGTGGCTTTCGCGTTGAGTGTCATGAGGTGTTTGATGGCTAAAATCGAGGATTCCCGAACGGCGCCGTCGTCATGGTTCAACCCTTGATTGATCAAAATGTCCATCACTGGCCTCAGATCCTTGCTATCTAGACTGTATACCCATAACACATGCAGCGCAGTGTGGGGAAACGCTACGTCATCGGTCCAATCCTCGTCAAGGGGGAGCATGGTGAGCAACGGCGGCAGCACAATCTGACCCAAATGCAGTCTGTTGTCTGTGCCCAGGACTGGAATAAGGTCGCACACTAAGAGCAAGGCCTCCACCACCACTCGGTTGTCCATGTCGTGGAGGCGTCGACGGACGCAGTTGAGGAATCGGCGGGCATTGCGAACCGGGAACGGCGGCGGCGGTGTCGACTGGCGTGGCAACTGAGCGGCAATCTCGCGCAGTTTTCGTATCGCGTCGTACTTGATGGACGGATCGTCGTCTTCCATTTGGTACACCAACGTGTCCACAGAGGACTCCATACGCCAGATAGAGATGGCGGCAACTACGTGGTGGAAACGGAAGTGAATCGGCGTGGCGGTTTCAATTTGCAGCCAATGATAGCGCCTGGAGTCAAAAAGTGCATAATAACAGCAGCATTTTTAATAATTGAGCTGTATTATTACAAATTTCCGGACCCACGCCGACCAAACCGATCGATCGCTCCCATTGGCCATCTGCTGATTGGCTACATTCACTTTCTTTTTACTTGGTGCATGGGACCAGCCAATGAAATTTCGCGGCCAGATTTGTGATTGGTTTTACGAATCGGGCAGAATTGGGAAATTTGGTCCCTGGGTATCGTCGTGGGATGAAGGACCCTACGGCATCCCTGCTATCGACGTCGACACGTACTCGGACCTCGTACTTGTAGCCGGCAGCATCGGCATCACCCCTATCCTCAGCATCGTCATCCGGTTTCGCCATATCCTGGGCACACGCACCATCCATTTGAAAAGGGTGGTGCGAAGGAAGTTCATTACCGGTACCGGTAGGGAAGTTCCATGGAAAAGTTCTAACGTATACTATTAATAACGTTAGTAGTATAACATTCCATTTAGTCCTGTTCATCGACGACGTCAACTTCAATGTCGTCGTGACCTTCGTTGTCGTCGTCGCTGTCGTCATCACTATCTTCGTTGAACACAATGTCGAATATCCGGTCGTCTACGGCAAACTCATCTTCGTGAAAAGGCATGACAAGCACGTAGCTCAACGCGTCCTGCGGTGTGAGCTCGGCTGTCGACGCACTAGGTTCCGCGAGCCACGCACATACTTGCTCGAGAGTTTCTTGTTGAAACTCAAACGATTCCACGTACTCCCAGTCCTTCTCGTCGTCCCCCAAAACACGCACGTCCATGGCTTCGTTGTCACCGTCGTCACTGCCATCGTCACCATCGCCTCCATTCTCGTCACTGACTCCATCTACTTCGTCGCTTCGAGGGACATTGTTGTCACCTGCATCACTACCTTCGTCTCCTGCTAACACGTCGTCCGTTTCTTCTTCGTCGCCGTTCGAGTCGGCAGGTTCCTGCTGCTCCGCCTGCCGTGCGTAATAACTCACGGGGTATCGACCAGACGTGCGAAACGCAGAGTGCACCAACGGCACTTTCTGCCCATAGCCAAACACAACGTGCACCGCAAAAGTTACGGTGGTGCCAAATTGCTCGCCGGCATACCGACGCTCATACGTGTACACGAGTTGCATGCGTTCGTGGTCCATTTTGGCTTTCTTCTGGGTCGGCTGCTGGTCCTGGGCCGCGGCGCTGGATTTCGTGAGTGACGATGCAGCGCGGTCAAATGTGATCGTGCCATCCATGACCATGTTGCGGTCTGCGTCACAGTGCATTGACGACTCGTCCACGCTAAAGTCTACCAGTTGCGGGTGCTGCGTCAAGATCTCGGCCGTCAGCGGATGCTCTCGCACGCGGTCGCGCATCTTTTCGGTGTCGTACAGTACCTTGGCTTCCTGGGCCAACCGTCGGTATATGTCTACTTGATACAAATCTTCGTTGGCTCCAAGCTCTGCACACACTTTGGCGAGGGCCGCACGGACTGCCGCAGACGAGCATGCTGAAAACGCCATCTCGTTCGTGTTGTACGCCAACTTGAACCAATCAATTCCATCAAATAAATGAGTACTAGTATTTAAATAAGAAACTCTGAAATGTCCATTCACAGAACTCAATCCGGATACTTCCAGTTTGTATAAGGTAAGTACAGTACTTTTACGATGGAATTCGGGTTCACAACAACTGCCGCAATTGTTGAACCGCTGATGGTATTTGGCACCCCAGTTACAAATCCATCTCATTTGCGTACTTTATAAAATCATACGACTACGAATATTGCCACGTGCAGAATTGTGGGGCTACGAATAGTACATTGCAGATACGGAATCGTTCACTGCAAAAACACACAGCTCACGCTCACTTGCGATGGTGCTTTGTCGAGCTCTTTGCGCTGCTGCTGCTGCAGTCACGACCATTAGCGCTACTGCTACAGGCAGCTACGCTCCTCCGGATCATGCCAACTTCACGATTCCTTCTTACGACTTGAGTTCTCCACATGATCATGCTGGCCTAGTTCAATCGCTACAAACGCATGGGATCGTGGCGCTCCGAAGCGTTCCAGCCTTTGCCGAGTCCCGCGCCGCGTACGTCCAAGCTGCGTATACTTGCATGCGAGATCACCCGACTCTTGAAGCCTTGCTGCATAAACAGCTCCAAGACGGCACAGAACGCACCACGATCAGCACCCATGCGGACGGCTCGGTGGGCGGGTACTCCGCCGTGTTGGATGTCCACTGTCCCCAGCTGAGTTTGACCCACAAGTCGTACGGGGACGTGCTTCATTCTGCGTCCCTCCAACTCGCGCGTGTGCTTTCGGAGACTGTGGAGTCGCCGCCGTCTTCGTTGCTCGACGCCGTCGTGCGCGGCGCGCACTTGGACCATGTCCACCGATACACGTCCCCGTCCTCGAAGTCGTCGTTTCCGGCCACAGCCGCTGCATCGTCGGTGATGTCGTTGGACTTTCACACGGACAATGGACTGTTCCTGCTCACGTCTGCTCCGTTCTACTTTCACTCCACGGACGGCCACGCTGTCGCCGATGCACCATCGGGTACGTTGCCAGAACTGAATCACGAACGCTTGAGGTGCTGACTAGTATGATATTTGTAGGTCTGGTTCTACAATTGTCGTTGGACGGTGTACCCACGCAAGTTCGGCCTCGGCTCGTCCACGACGAGCTCGTGGTGATGGTTGGGGAAGGCTACACTCGATGGGGGTCGTATGGCCACTCGTTTCCTGCAGTGTTGCACGCCATGCAAATGCCGCTAGCCGCCACCGCCGTCCGCATGTTTGCCGGCCGCATGCTGTTGTTGCCCAAAGATGCCACACTGGCCCATACCAACCTCACGTTTCAAGCGTACGCCGAGGCATCGACAAGGTACCGACTTTGAACTATGCAGTCGTTGCTCTTGGTAATATTTATTGTCCTTTTACCCACAATATGGACTTTTGTGCTGATTCGCCAAATATATTGAACGATGTCTCTTTGTACTGCCCTTTGTATGTAAAGAGATCGTCCAGTGTCACCCTTATTTCAGTAACATGCTAATAATGTTGAATTGATCAAAGAGTGGATTTGATTGGCCACTTGATTTGTATTATGGGGTTTGATTGGTCAATCGATTGTGTGTCGATTTGGTGCTCACTTTCGAATACTGTAATCGACTATAAGTACCTAACGCGGCAATCAATATCAATCGACGGCAGATTTGCCTTGAACGAACCCGCCACCGATCACGACAGGACGATCTTGGCCACGCTGGGGTGCCCCGTCGGTCGAAGTTTACTCGCGTCCGACTTGAGCTGCGCCTTGGGCATTTGGACGCCTTCCAACCAAAGCGACCCGTCCACCACCAAAGCCCAATGTATGGCGCATTGCAATGCCCCCAACATGAAGAAAGACGTGGAGATGTGCCAGTCGCTCAAGTGTATCCGGACGAGCGAAATCCCCGACGGCGGCACCGAGTGTTGGATGCTGTGTGTCCAACACTTGGACCAGTGTGCGGTGGCTGACCAAGTGTGCGTTGACCAAACCCTCGTCTGTCCCGCTGCCACGTCACCACACCAGCAGCAGTCGTGGGGATGGCCTGTCATTGCGGCGGCGGCGGCAGCTGTTGTCGTCCTCGCACTCGTGGTGTGGAGTTTGCGCAAGCGACGCCACGCGACGGAGGAGAAGGTGCCATTGCTGTTGGCCTCGCAAGGAATGAATGTGACGCATTGATAAGGGACGAACGACAAGGATGCAGGGATGAAAGGCGAGTTGGAACGGTTCGGAGTAACTGATGTCGAAATAGTTGTAATAACGGTTCTGAAGTAACGTCAAAGTCAGTTCACGACACGTTGCAGTATTCTGAGACGCTGCGTGGAAGGCATGAATTGTATGCACCGCAGCTATGCACGCACAGCAGCAAGAAAATTCTGTGAAAAGTTGGTACAGTAGTTTATACTCCAGTACTGTACTGGAGTACTGTACTACTAGTATGTACAAGTATTGTGCTTTGCACCTTTTTTGGCAATTCCAGGGTTAAATTCATTGTTTAAAAAATTTTCAGGTTTAAATAATGTCTAAAGTAACTTGAATAACGGTTGGGTGCGTTGTTTAAAGTTACTTCATCTAATGCGATGATTGGTTGGTTGAAGGTGGTTTTACTGGCACTTTCGTAAAACAAGTTGTTTGCCGTTTTCATTCTGGCAAACAACTTGCTTTACGTCAATATGTCAAGGTGCTTGACGCAATGAAACTGAAGGAGCTATTGCCACATACATGACCTTCCATCCGTGATCACTACAGTACTAACATTATCTACTCTGAGTAATGTATATAACGTTAGGGATATAGTTAGGCTACAGTACATGTAGTCGTCGCTCTGTCCAATGATTCAAAGCTATGCCATACCTTCAACTCGTGATCTGCTCTAACCTTAGCACTGTACGTGAAAGGCAAGGGCGCACTACGACTACACGATGCATAGTACTCCCATTTCACATCCTAATACGGTATGCATCGTGATGAACTGGTGGTTGTACGGCGTAAGTTGGCCTGG